TTGAATAAATGTCATTTGGGGCATGAAATTAGTACAGAAGGAATTCGGCCTGGGTCGGGTCAGTTCCCAACTCCAAGAAATGTTCATGAAGTACGCCAATTTATAGGACTCGTAAGCTATTTTAGGAAATATGAGAAAAACTTTTTTCATTCTCCCCCCTACGAAAGTTGATTTTTTTATCTTGTATAGGTGAGCGGAAGCGAAAGTGAAACATGCTAGTAGTTACTTTCACTTTCGCTACTCGCATGTTTCACTTTCGCATACCTATTCACGATTTTTGAAGGCAAAGGATGAAAAGTTTAATACATTACACGCTGCAAAAGCCCTGTTAGGTGCTCGGAGGCAGTGCCGGCCCGAGGTTACTTTTAGGATGGAGCGAGATCCGATTTTGGCGCCCCTAATTAAGTAAATGCGAATCGTATCCACCGATCAGAGCTGTTCTAAGTACCAAGAAAAAGTACTTAAGTATCAAGTACAAGTTTCTTTTTTGATACGAATCAAGTACCAGTACAAGTAAATTGACTTGAATTGCCCAAATTCAAGTACAAGTACCAAATTCCGCCGCTTCTCGAGCGTGATAGGACATTTCCTTGCGAGTGCGCATATCCGTAAAAAAAAAAAAAAAATCCACGAAAGTCAGAGTTAAGTTAGTATTTACTTGCTTCCTTAATAAATAAAAAAAATTTGGATGATCCAGGTTTCCAGATTTTTTAGAAAAAAAAATCAGGAATGAGGCCATCAGGCTATGGCAAAGATATATCACGGTGTGTCTGTCTGATTGTAAAAAACATAGCTCCGTTATTCTAGGCTATATCTCTATAAAATTTTAGTATGTTGGAGCTAAAAGCTTCCTTAATACCTACATAAAAAAATATTTGGTTAATCTAAGTTTCCAGAATTTTTAGAAAAAAATTGAAACCGCAAGAATGAGGCCATCAGGCAATGGCAAACATATCACTAAGTGTGGACTATTGGACTGGACTATTTTTCAATAAAATTTTAAAATGTTAAAGCTAAAAGCTTTCTCAATAAGCAAAAAAATATTTGGTTCCTCCAGGTTTCCTAGATTTCCAGGAAAAAAATCAGAAATCAGGCCATAGGCTGTAATGCAAAAATATCACTCAATCGGGCTCTCGGATTAAAAAAATCGTAACTCAGCTATCTTTGGTTTTTATCCAATCAAAGTTTGGTATGTCGAAGTTAAAAAGCTCCTGGATACCTATATAAAAAAAATTCTACATTTACCAAAGTTTCTCAGATTTCCAGGAAAAAAAATCAGAAATCAGGCCATAGGCTGTAATGCAAAAATATCACTCAGTGGGGCTTTTGAATTAAAAAAATCGTAACTCAGCTATCTTTGGTTTTTTCCGAACCAAATTTTGGTATGTTTAAGCTAAAAGGCTCCTGGATAAATGAAAAAACTCTAAATGTCCCAAAGTTTCCCAGATTTCGAGGGGAAAAATCAAAAATTAGGCCATAGGCTGGGCTTAAGGGATTAAACAGATTTCAGAAACATATTTTTCTCTTTTTTTTTCCACCAAGGAACAAGTCGGAGGCGCCCCTCTAGGTCTGGCGCCTGGAGCGCTCGCTCTATTCGCCTTATGGTAGGGCCGGCCCTGCTCGGAGGAATACACCTCGCACCTGAAAGTACGCTTTCGCAGCTTGTAATATAAATAACTGTACCCAAATAGCTCGCGTTAACAAGGAAAAAATGAGGCTTTTCCATGGGAAGCAGAACAACAACAATCATAATGTATTAAAGACTGTTATCCCATGGGAAGACCCGATGATCATTTAGAAATGCTGTCAAATGCCAGGTACCTTAATTCTCTTAACAGGGCCAGTGGGTATCAACAAATTCCCAAATCTGAAAAGTCACGACAGAAACCAGCGTTCGTTACTCCAGATGGGCAGTACGAATATTTGCGTATGCCATTCGGATTCGTGAATGCTCCCGCCGTTTTCCAAAGAACGGTTAACCACCTTCTAGGAACTGTTAATCAATATAACTGGATTAGCTTATCTTGATGACATTCTCGTGCTAAGTTTTAAATTTGATTCTGGCTAAGAAGCATTAAAAGAAATCTTTGGAGCATTAAAAATTTTTGGAGGAACATTCGAGTTGAATAAATGTCATTTTTTTGAGAACGAAATTGATTATTTGGGGCATGAAATAAGTACAGAAGGAATTCGGCCTGGGTCAGTTCCCAACTCCAAGAAATGTTCATAAAGTAAGCCAATTTATAGGACTTGCAAGCTATTTTAGGAAATATGAGAAAAACTTTTTCATTCTCCCCCTACGAAAGTAGATTTTTTTATCTTGTATAGGCGAGCGAAAGCGAAAGTGAAACATGCTAGTAGTTACTTTCACTTTCGCTACTCGCATGTTCTACTTTCGCATACCTATTCACGAGTTTTGAAGGCAAAGGATGAAAAGTTTAATACTAAACACGCTGCAAAAGCCCTTTTAGGTACTCGGAGGCATTCAAATAGCCTCGGCTGCGCTTCGCTTCGCCTCGGCTATTTGAATACACCTCGCACCTAAAAGTACGCTTTCGCAGCTTGTAATATAAATAACTATATCCAAATAGCTCGCGTTAACAAGGAAAAATGAGGCTTTTACATGGGAAGCAGAACAACAACAATCAAAATGTATTAAAGACCCGATGATTATTTAGAAATGGTGTCAAATGCCAGGTACTTCACTTCTGCTGACATGGCCAGTGGGTATCACCAAATTCTCATGTCTGAAAAGTTACGACAGAAACCAGCGTTCGTTACTCCAAATGGGCAGTACGAATATTTGCGTATGCCATTCGGATTGGTGAATGCTCCCGCCGTTTTCCAAAGAATGGTTAACCACATTCTATTTAATTTCAATGTAGAATATCGGCCTGGAACAAAGATGGCTCATTAAGCAAAAATCCAGTGGAAACACAAAGTGAAAGCCTAGCTACTGAAATGTTAGCAGTCAATGTAACAGATGACGATTGGATTTTATCTTTATCACCTCAACTATAAGATGAACATGGGTTGAAGTGGTACGTGCCTGAAAGAACAAGACGAGCAATACTATCATATTACCATGACAAAAGAGGTTACTTAGCTACAAAAAAGATTCTTAAAGCAACAAGTGAATACTACTGGAAATATGTATAACAAAACAGGAAGGTTTTCTACATCAAAAGGGAGCCAATACCTATGGATACAATTCATTTTGATCATGGGCCTTTTGTCGAAAGTTCAAAGGGTAATTGTTACCTAATACTTGCTGTTGATGGATTTACGATTTACGTAGTATGTCTGGTTAAGATCTGGGAGAAAATGGCCGAATTCAGGATACCTCATAAAAGCTGTGTCATAAGATTATAAGACTAACAAGAGTTTGTGTAGAAGGTTCCAGATGCAGAGTGAAAGTTAAGAATGATATGTCGGATGTATTCACAAATAACAAAAATGAAATTTCAAGGAAATAAATAAGGGAAATTTACACATGTTAAAAACAGAATAACAACATTTGGAAGGAGCGCAAAAGTCTAAAAAAATTAAAAACAAGAAAAAAAAAAAAAAATTTCAAATGAAAAAACAAATTACAAAACTATAGTCGATAGCCAAAATCTAAAAACATTAAAAACAAATAGGTATGTATGAAATGGAACAACAAATAACAAAACTATAGTCGATAGCCAAAACCTAAAAAAATTAAAAACAAAAACAAACATTTCTGAAATGAAACAACAAATAACAAAACTATAATCGATAGAGGGGAAGAAGGAACACAGATAGAACAGATTGAAAAATAAGCACAAGAAAATGAAGAAAAAGAAATGCCTTTGTGTTACTAGCAGTAATAGTAGAAGTAGTAGGTAGCTCTGAGAGTTTTTATACCTTAAACAGACCAAAATTCAAATTTTAACATCAATTAATTACTCAAAAACTAAAGAAAATAATTGTGTTTCTTTTCGTGTAAACTGTAAACCCATGGGGAAAAGATGAGCGCACGTCACAAAAAAAAGAAAATTCAATACAAATAAGCATATTGGAATAGGAAATATTCTTAGCGAACCTAGAAGATTTTATGGAATATGGCATATTTCTGTAAGTATACCAGTAGGATGCGCATGCAATCCCGAATAATATATTTTTTTTTAAATTGTGCCTTTATGTCGTTAAAAAAAAAACTTACCAACACTTTATTGGAACCACCTCTTTAATCCAAATTTCCCACTGATGGAGATCCTCAAGACAAACAAACACTTAGTTTAAGTTTTTCAAAATTTGAAAATTTCGAATTTCCTTCTACACAAAAAAAAAATATTCCAAAAATATATAAAAGTTGGTGCTGAAAAGTCGTTTAGAAAATGCGGTGTTCACTGCACAAGATGTTAAAGAACACAATTCGGGCGTCCAAGTCGGCGGGACGCATCTGTTGAGCGTCTTGCCTTCTCGATTGACGTCACCAGGGCGTCCAAATTTAGCGCCTTTATACTTTCGTTTTGATTCTCGGTATAGAAACATACGTACCTACTTACGTTCTCTGCTTAATCTGAGATTTTTGAAATTAACACGGTTTTTGGGATAGGAAAAAAAAAACAAAACGATTAAGTTGGATCATGTGATATTTGTCCCATTATATTTTAACTATGAAAAATTTGCTTCTCTCATAAAACCGTGGCCCATAAAATGTTCGAGCTATTTTAAGACGGTCGATGTTATGGTTATCTTTAATTTGAATAGCGTTAATTACGGAAAATGAAAAAAGAGTTTCCAGAACAACTGAAAAAACCTGTCATAAGTACCTATATTATTATATTGTTGATAATTTCAATACTCTGGATGCTCGTATCGGTGGTTGTGCTCATTATGAATGTTATTATTTTTGTGATTCTAAGAACAATCTGGCTTTTTTATTGTTTCCTTTGTCAATGAAATTTTTTTTTCATTTTTCTGACAATAAAGCTTATTGTTACTTTATTTGATACATCAAAGGATTCACTTACCGTGACAGTAGTAGTTATCTTTGTAGTTCTCCTGACCGTGCCTTCTGGAGAAGAAGATGATGTGGTCGTTTTTGTATTTGAAGATGCTGCATGAGACTCCATTCCAGAAAGTATCACCTGCGCACCTGGAAATTTGAAAATATGGAACACTTTAGTCATCCACAATTATTGAAAATATTTTAATAGCTATTTATACAATAAGTTGCGAAATGAGCGTCTTTTAGGCACGCGACGTGAAAATTGTCCAACGAGGCAAAGCCGAGTTGGACAACACGTCGAGTGACTAAAAGACTTCGTTTCGTAACGTATTGTATACAAGATTTTTTCTACTGGCGTTTCATAATAAAAAAACACTATTTTATTTCAATGTTTGTCACCTGCTTTTGCTTGACATCTTTCATGGTGGTGACTAATATTCATAATAAATACATAACAAAATTCAAATCTGTGTTTAGTGTGTTTTTTATTTCTGAACAATGAATGACACTTTTAGGCACTAGTGCTTAAAAGTTACTTTTACGCACTTGAAAGTCACTTTTACGCACTGAGTGCCTAAAAGTCACTTTTACGCACTGAGTGCTTAAAAGAATGTCATTTCAAAACTAAAATGACAATCGAAAAGTTGCTATTATGAAACGTCAGTAGAAAAAATTTATTTTGTTTTCATCTCTGTCAAATTTTGGAGGCAATCAGATTTAAATTCGATTTCTTTTATATGGATTATGAGATTCATTTTTGTCGGAATACCTGTGATTTCAACTCTGGAAATTTTGAGCTGTTTTGAGATTCTTCATCATCTTATCTGGAAAGTCCAGCAAATACGTCCAGGGAGCCATATTCTTGAAAGGGGGGACCAACGACCTTTTCATGAAAACAATTTTTTCTCTCTGACAGAGAAAGAAAAATAATTGTTCTTACATATAGAAATGCTGCTCCGTCGTTTCAAGGCGCCAGCAGTAGGTATTTGTGTAGAAAACTTTAGTACCTTCTCGAAGACGAGACTAGAAACAGGACCACCCATTGACGAACAAGGAAGTACTGACAAAGGCTCACTAGGGTAAAAAAATCGTCTTAAGATACCATCAGAAGCGACAGAAAGGCACAAAAAACAAATTTAATCAAGAGTCTTGGTTAACGACCAAGCAGAAGATGCCTGTGGAAGTCTTTTCCTAATCCCTTATTCAGAAATTCTACAACAGCAGCAATATTCATATAGTGTTTGGTCGGCGTATTTATAGATATATTGTCGGACCTGGGAGTTATGAGGGGGTGAGAATCAAAACTAGAGCCAAGTACAAAAATAGGAAAATGTATTAAAATAAAGCTTACCACAAATACATGTCAGTTATGGGCATGGGCACTAATAATTATCACAGGTCTAAAAGGCACTATTACTACTAACTAACTAACGCGGATAATTCTCCGTCTGTAGACTACCTTCCCGTCTTCCAAAACCCATTATTTCATATTGATCAAGCGACCATGGCGCGTGATCGCTGATTATAATGAGCTGTCTTTGACATTGACCTTCCATGGGTTTAGGTTCCTTGTACGAATTAACAATTCAATAATTCGTTCAACTTGCAACCGAATGTTATTTAAATGTAACGTGATAAATTATTTTCCTGAAGCCCATGAACCTTTTTTGGAAGACGATTGGGTTTCATTAACCGAAGGGAGATGCCCTTTTACCCTAGATACGATAATATAAAAAGAACCGCACCAAGTTATACAGTTGAAGGCGCTACAGCCGCTACAAGAACTGTCCAAACGGTTTTAGTACTTTGATGAGGAAGGCAACGAGAAACCATTTCAGTATTTTCCCGAAGAAAATACTGAAAACCTAAAGCCCAGACCCTCAGTCCCCGGCAGAGGGTGCTAAGAATCACAGAGGCAGTCATGAAAAAGATTGCGACCCTGGAACATACAAAGTTTATTCCAAGAAGGAAACATTCACAATGTCATGAAACAAATGTATATGGACATCTTAAAGAGCATCGAAATGAGATTGCCTAGTTCTGGTGAGTGCCACATGGATGACCATCATGTAGATTATTCTGGTAACGACCACCGAAAACACTACAAAGGCGTGGCCGTGGCTTTCATAGTAAACATGGAAATACATAGAACTGTGAAACCTTTTGTCCTCCAATCCAATTCAATTCCAAACCATACAATGTGAACAATATCCAGACATATGCACCAACCTGCGATTAACCAGAAGAAGCTGTTGAAATATTTTACGGACAACACCAAAGCATCTTGGATCTGAGATCTGACTAAGAAGTCAGAAATTACAATTATTATGGGGAATTTATTGTGAAGATTGACAGTGGAGTAAGTGATGACATAGTTGATGATGGGTATTGGTATTGCGAAAAAACATGGTGACCGACTGTTCAGTTTTTGTCAGGAAATGGGTTTTGTTGTCTCTCGTATCCCTTTTTCAACTTCTACCAAGACGTCTGTACACTTTGACGCTCATACGCCGGACAGAAATTGCATCAAATCTGCAATGACTTACCCTGGCGCAGATATAAATTCGTATCACAATCCGCGCGTAGCGAACATCCAGCTAAAAGATGTATAGCTAAAACGAACAGCCCAAGACTGGATCTGACAATACTAAATAACTTAACAACTGTAGCAGAAGTAAGAAACGAATTAGATAACAAAGTAAACGTAATAAACAGGTTAGAGAATCAAGAAGTGGAGACTGAATGGACCGGTATCAGGGAAGCCTTTGTTAGCGTCAGCTCAAAATTGTCAAGTAACACTATAGGGTCAGGAAAAAAGATTAGATGACTGATGAAATCCTCAACTTGATGGAAGAAAGACTAGCCAGCATATCGTCAGTTGAATCGTTAAATCAAGAATGGAACAAGCCAGAGCATCATTTGTAAATCTGAAGTCCGTGTTATCTAGTCAAGGTCTCTCGCTCTCCGTTCGCACTCGAGTAGTACTACTACGTCTTCAGTGTTCTCCATTATGGGATTGAGGCGTGGACTCTGACAGACGCCATGTGTAAAAAGCTAGAGGCTTTTGAAATTTCAACATAGACGAATTTTAAAAATATCTCGGACGGACAGAGTGCGCAATGAAGATGTGCTATAACGAGAATGTCAAAAGATCTTGAAGTTGTGTTTATACGTTAAAAAAGCGAAAGCTAGAGTACTTAGGACGCATACTCAGGAAAAACACATACCTACAGAAGAGGCTCTGGACATCGAAGAATATCTTTGCTAAAGAATTTGCGTTACTAGTATGGCGAAACCACGACAAGTCTTTTCAGAAAAACAGCCGATAAAGTACAGAGAGCGCTGATGATTGCCAACGATCGTAGAGGCTAAGGCACTTGTAGAACAAGAAGAATGGAACAGGTGAGATCACCAGGAAGATGTTGAATGTCGGAGGAGAGACCCTCAAAGAAACAATCATATGCGAAAAAGATTCCAGATTACAGGAAAAACGCAAATAAAGTCATCCTCCTGATCAAGAAAAGTGACAAAATCTATAGAGTGTTACAGCCTACTGGAATATCTTCTAAAAGCTGCTTACAAGCCTCATATTCGACATTCACTCAAATAAGGGAGAATGCTACTCAATTGGAAACCTACACAATACCAACCGGATCCTTATCATGAGAGGCATTTAGGCCAAGGTGATACAATCTTCCTACATTTCTTCACTTTGGCTTTGTAAGACATGTACCTATACTAAAATGAGAAACGTTTCAACATTACGTGCGACAACTGAATGAACCTGTGTGGAAGGAATGCGGGCAAAACTGTCCTAGTTGGTGCCAGATTAAATGTATACGCGGGTCCTCGCGTCAGGGACCACGAATTTTCGCAATGCACCACGTCGGGGTCGTATAGTATAGGTGTTCGTTTTCCCCTCTGCTAATTCATATACGTCTCCAAGGTTCATTCAGTTGTCGCACTGTAGATGGAAGGCGTCTCATCCACCTTCTCTTTGTATCGTTCTCTTTAGCGGTGATGCAAAACTGACAAAGAACGAAGTGATATTGTAGTGGAGCGGAAATAGCAAAAACCAAAGAAAACCTTAAAGAATTGGAGAATCTTTTGCTAAGAATAAAAGCCAAGAAAAGCGATAAATTTCTGAAAAGAACATCCCTATGGAGACCCACAGGGAGATGTCAACTAAAATTGATCTGACCATCAAATAACCCAAAAGCCTGAAAACATCGAAAGTCGATATTTGGAGGAGATCCAGGTCAGAAAATCAATATGACTTCAAGACAAGGGATACGACATCGCTTTGACAGGAGGAAATCTGGTGTTCGGGATGAACGTCGGCAGTATCCAGTAAACGACCTCCGTTGCTGTGATGGTCAAAGCGGTTGGAAGACATGGAATTGACGACACCACTTGTAGGTGGATGCGAAACATTCTCCAAAGCCTACAGATTCGAACCACTCTATACGGAGACACCCTTGCAGGTATCTGCAACTTGATGTTGTCCACAAGGGGGAGTACTAGCTATCACCCTCCCTATGGAATTTTTGGTGGTTGATGACTTACTACAGCATCTCAACTCAGAGGGGTTCCACACCCAAGGGTATGCTAACGACGTGGTCACGTGAAGGGAAGAGGAGAGGAGAACTCATGCATACAGCACTTAGAAGTTTGCAGAAATGGTGTAGGCAGATCAACCCCACAATAAGCGCTGGGAAAACAGCGATTCTACCATTCACCAAAAAGCGATTAGCCGGAACCTATAAAAACCTGAATATCTTTGGTGAAAATATGAAAACTGTTAATGAAATGAAACATCTGGGCCTAATCCTAGACCCTAAATTGACATGGAATCAACAAATCAGCAAAGAAGATTATAAACAAAGCAAGAATGTGCCTCATGAGATGCAGGCACATGTTTTGCAAAACCTGGGGCTTGATACCAAAGATGGTGTAGTGGCTATACATCACAGTTATCAGACCCATGATAACATACGGGGCCGCCGTATGGTGGCCAAAGATTGAGCAAAAAACGACAATCATGAGCTTTACTGTCTACAGAGACTGGCTAGCTTGTGCATCTCAGGAACCATGGGTCACGGTGGCTATGGAAATAATTATGGTAGAGCCCTTCGATATCGTCATTAAGAAAAAGGCCGGCATCACGGCCTACAGAATGAAAACGGCAGGAGTCTGGAAACCACAGCCGAGCAAATACGGATACACAATACTGACACATGTCATAGACAACGAACTATTGGAAATCAGATCGGATCACATGACGCCGATTTTCAACTTTGAAAGACCGTATATAGGATTGAGCGCGACCCTAACATGCAGGATAAGAAAACGGTCCCACTGTTGCGGGATGGGACGGGTTAATCTACACCGACGGCTCAAAAACGGTAAACGGAGTGGGGGCAGGGATATATGACGAACGACCCAAGATGAATGTCAGCATATCACTGGGAGATGAAACTACTATACACGGGCCGAGTTCGTTTTTATCATCTCTTTCGTCGATTTGCTCCAAAATTTTGACAGGCACGTGACTGGATAAGACAGTTTCAGTTTACAAATCACGTGCCTGTCAGAATTTCGGAGGAAATCGACGGAAAAGATGACGAAAACGAACTCGGCCACGGAGTCCGTGCTTGCAGGTGGATCGGATGCTATTTCTACTAATCCACCTGCAAAATACTTCTAATACACGGGCTATGTTAATCATATCGAGCAGAAGTCTTCGCTAGATGAGTGCATCCAACAAAGTATTACGGCAGAATGTTAAAACCAAAACGTAGCTATTCTAACGGTTAGCCAAGCAGCACTAAAAGCGCCGATTTCCTATCGCATTACTTACCGAATGACGATGGAGCGCCTCATTGACCTGAAGCAGCTTGGTAAGGAAAACAAGGTTCGCCTCCTATGGGTTCCTGGCCACTCGGGGATTGATGGCAACGAAAAAGCAGATGGGCTGGCGAGAGTTGGAGCTGCAACGCCAATTATAGGCCCCAGGCCCAGTTTTGGAATATCGATTCAAGTGGTAAAGTAAAGTGAACACTGGACTAATCGTCGAAAAGATAATATTTGGCTCGTTGGAATAAAACACCTGGACAATATAACGCAAGTTCGATAATTAGCAAACCCTTCAACGGAACTAACAACTGACGTGCTACGACTTACGCTCTCACAGATGAGACAAGTGATAAGCTATCGACAGGACACTGTCACTTGAGGATGCATCAGTACAGGATGGGTATATTCAATGAACCCACCGAATGCAGACTGTGGGGAGAGGAAGATGAAACAGCTTCCCACATCATTTTTAACTCTGTGGCCCTATTACACAAAATATACAGACTCTTCGGAGCAATACAGACCGGAGATAGACTACCGCCTGAAAATCTTGTCCAAGGGCTATTAGGCGTGATACAGGGAACAGTACTCTTGTAGGGCAAGAAGGAAATTGGGGTGCACAATAAGCCAACAACCTGCAGTGCATGGAAGGCCTCAGCGCCTAGATCCCCCTTTAACCAACCAACCAACCAGTAAACGAGATCGGGCAAAAGTCGAAAGTAAGAAGACCCACGTGAACAAGTCAGTAAAAGTGGCTGGTCATGAGGCAGCGCAAAACGTCGGATTTTAAAAGCGAAAATTCAAAGTCATTTCCAAACGTGAAATAGAGTACCAAGTAATTAGGTGTATGCCAGAAGTTAATATTGTAGTATTTATTAAATGTAAGAAAAGTCTAGTCAACAAACTGTTTTAATATTTGAGAAAGTGTTTTTTGTATAGGTACTAGGAAACTTCAGAAACATTTATATATTTTTGAACCTTAACTGTTGGAAGAATTTTTGGAAAATTTGGCTCTCTATTTTATTAACCATAAGAAAAATTAACTGAAAACTCCAAGCCAAATATGCCAGGAACAAGACCAGCGGCCAGCTAATCCAACTCTACCCTTTTCTCAACACCACAGCCGACTGAAGACCAGAACCAAAATCAACACTTACAAGCTGTATATCCGGCCTATACTTACATATACATACAATGCCAGCCTGGTATGCCACTGCAACACCTATTAACTGTTATCCCTTGACGAGCCTGGAAAACCGGATACCTACGTAACCACCTCCTGAACGCACCATGGTTTGTCAGAAACAACTCTAGCAGAAAGGATACCAGGGGACCAAAATTTCACCAATTCCTTCATTAGGGATTCTCACAACCCAGCTCCGCTGGGATCAAGATACCCTCACCCATGGAACCAAATCTGAGGTAGCCAAGAAACACCTCCCACTTAAAGATCCGACATGCAGAATCACCACAAAATCTTTCAGGACCTGGGAATCGAGAATATGCATCTAAATAAATATGGGAACATAAAATTTATATACATTTTCCCAACCACAAAAATTATTGCCATTTGGACAAGACACCCAGGAACAAAACAAATTAACGCTCGCCAACTCAACATCTTAGGTTTCTGGGCTAGGGTTCACAATATCGACATCAAATGAAGAGCAGATTTTCTTGAAAAACAACAAAGAGCTACGCTACAACACTTTTCCAAGACCCAGGGCCATTTTGTGGACTAATGAAGAGGCATCTCACATGTCATGAAAAACTGTACAGATGGAAAAAAAAAACTAAATGCTAACTCATTGGAGACCCATTCGGGGTCTGTCTAAGATAAGTAAAAAGGCTAAAATCCATCTCAGCAAAAAGCATCTGAATAACTGAAAAGATAGCGATGCTCAGCGCCTGTATCTGTCCGAAACGACTACAGATTAAATCTAGAATCTAGAAGGATAATATTACAAAAACCTAATGAAGCTCCTGAAGTGGTGGGCCTTAGAATGATTTTTCAAAAGACCGAATATCTTGAGTCCGGGAGACACTGTCGACAACTACCCAAGAGTACAATGATCTGGTGTATGATAATCAGACCAGGAATTGAACATCTACGTAAACGTCAAAAGGAAAGTCTACAACAAGTGCAACCTCCCAGTGGCATTATGGACTGAGTGATACTCACATTCCCTTCATAGATAAGGTTTTTTGAGAACAAAAATTAAATAATCGAGAAGATTCCCTATTCAGAAGTCGGAGAGCCATAATCTGGTAGATTAGATAGAGAACATCAGGAATCTATGACGAAGTGGAGCGAGTGACGATACTGAAATGGTAATGGCAGGACACGTGACTGAAAACAACTCCAAATGGGCCAAATTTCTACCAAACAGGACAAAGAGGAATGTCGGACTTCCCCAGGCAAGATGACATCCAAAAAAAATCCAAACCGCCTAGTAAAGCAACTTTGTCGCTAGAGACTAAAAGATTCAAAAGCATTCACTTGAAAAAATTTCAAAGATGAGACTCACCCCTACTTGGGTGTGAGCAATAAAGAAGAAATATTTGCCAAGCTATTGAAAATCTTCTAGAAATTTTGAAAAAGGGTCTTATCTATGTCTTTAGTCAAATATCTCAGTAAACCTCCAGCAATATAGGTCTGCGAAATTTGCCCGTTTTGGGATCAATTTGGTCCAAAAGTCCAAGCTAAGTGATGTACAGTGATTGAAAGATTTAATTTGAAATTGGCTACACTTTTTGGATTTTAAAAACTATCAAAGTATCTCTTTACAGGCTCCAAATAAAAAGCCCTCGAAGTACCTGACTATTTGGATTTCAAAAAAAACTATCTCACAGACTCACTTCAAAAAACTGAAAACACGCAATTGTTACTGACTCACTCACTCACTAAATAAAGAAATATTTACAAACCTAAAAATTTATTCAAAAGTCCTCTGGCAGCAACATCTTCTTCACTATCACCTTCCGCTCCGTATTCTTCATTTTTCATTCTAGTTATCACATCTTGCACTCCGGAAATTTTACTTTTGTTTGTCAAAAACGTCTCACCGCTGCTGCTGCTTGTCGTTTTCATCGTGCGTACTGTCACGGTACTGCTTTCAGCCTCTCTGTCGTCAGCTGCAAATTTTCCCAAATAAATTTTTTCAAGTTTGAAGATTTTTTTTTTGTTATACCTGGAGATAATTCTCGGCTATCAGGTTCGCCTTCTCCGTTTGTACTTTTGAAGCTGGAACTCCGCAAGATCAAACCTGCCTTGGGGTAGGTTGTTTGCCGTTCACTCTTCAAAGTTTCAACTAAAAATTTAATTATTTGGCACATAAACGTTTCACTCTTTCAAGCACTTTGCTATTACTGAACGATTTCTTACAATAAAATGCGATTTTAAATAAATAAAAACGAGAAAGCGGTATACTACTGACCTGCATTATCAATGAATTTCTTGGACATTTCTTTTACTGAACCTCGTCTGTTAACTTTAGTGGTTTTAGTGGTCGTCGATGATGTTTTTTCGCTTGAATCGCAAATTTGCTTCACAAAAATAAATCAGTTTATTAAAACAATATTCTAAAACATATTAACACTTCTAACCTAGTCTCACTTACTTTTTTATTGTTGGTAAGACTTCTTAAAGATGGCGTATCCTTATAACCAAATTTCTGAGTAGTAGTCACACTTGTAACCTTACCATCGGAAGATACAGGGCCATCTTGGTCCAAATCTCTCGGATCGTTCGAATATTTCGTCACGCTCACTTGCCCCACCGGCTCTTGGTCGTTTTCTGAATAGTACTCACTTCGGATTACCGTACCTTGAACTGTATACAAAATTAATTAAATGATCCAAAATAGCAAAAATTCTTACCTTTAATTTTCTCGTTCTTATTCTGGGCCCTTAAAGCTTTCAATCCAAATAGTGGGGTACCATTCTCATCGGTAGGCCCTACACCGTAACTCGATGTAATGATGTCAGTACCTTTGACTTCTTTTGCTGGACTGGTTCTTAGGATTGAGGATTTTTTTGTTGTGGTGGTACTGGTGGTAGAAGAGACTTTTTTGTTTACTGGTGCTGCACTGTCTTTGGCGTTTCTCAAATTTCTTTGTCTCACCCATTCAGGTTGACTATCTTCGATTGGCTTTTTGGTTATTGGGGCTGTCTTTTTCAGGGTTGTAAATGATTTTTCAGTAGTTTTAGTCGTGGTGGTTTTGGTGCCTCCAGGAATTGTTTCAGTGGTTTTTACAGTGGTTACTTTACCTTCAGGTATGAGGTCTACGGTTTTGGAGACTCTTCTTTCAGGGCTTTTTTGTGGACTAGATCTATCCCGAACCGGGCTCGCGTTTTTAGTTACTTTTGTAGATTTGTAGGAGGATTGATATTCTGAAGAACTTTGCTCTACGGTTTTTTTACTGTCTACAATATCTGTGTGTTGGTAAAGCTTGTTATCTATAGTTCTACGCTCTGGACTAGTTTTTCTCACATATGAGGTCTGGTATTCAGAAGAAGTTGTTTTGCCAGTTTTAGCTGGACTAGAGTCTCTTCTAGGTTCATTTGGCTTAGGCTCTGGACTAGGTTTTCTCATGTATTCAGTAGAAGTTGAAACCGATGTCACAGTTTTGGCTGGGCTAGTACTTCTTCTAGGTTCTGGACTAGTTTTCCTTACATATGTGGACTGATATTCAGAGGCAGAAGTTGTGGATGAACTCGATTTAACAGTTTTAGATGGACTAGGGCTTCTTTTTGGCCCATCTTTCCTCACATATGTAGTCTGATATTCTGTAGTAGAAGTTGTGGATGAAGTTGGTTTAACAGTTTTAGCTGGACTAGAACCTCGTCTACTGATAGCTTCACGCGGTGCAGATCTTCTCTTGGCTATGTACGATTCAAGAGTGCCTTCGGATATAAGTCTTTTGACTAGGCGAATTTGGGTGCGGATTTTTCTTCTAAGCTCGTAACCAACAACTTTTTCCAACTAGAATTTATAAAAATTATTATGAAACTTAAACCTACAAAAGACAATCAATACTCACCAATTCCTCTAAAACTTCTATTTCAAATATTTCCTCAATTTCCTCCTCAGTAATGCGCTTTTCCAAAGTTATACTGCTTTTTCTCCTCTCAGTAGTTGATGTTGATGTTTCGGTAGTTTTTGTAGTTCGTCCAGAGTCAGTCCTTCTCAAAGTAACTCCAAACTTCGTTTGTCTTGTATCTACTTGGTCTGCAGGTTGCGGTTCATGCTGCTGGGGCTTAGCTAAAAAAGATGAAAATGTATTTTTCTGTGTTGGAATTGGAAAATACTAACCTTGATTGATGCTATCCCTGTGAGGACTGTTAGGCCTCAAACTTCTATCCAAAGGTTTCATGTAATGTGGTAGTTCACCTTCAGGAGTTGGCTCTCTGCTTCTCACCTTGATTTCTGGAGATTTAGGTCTGGATCTTGTGTACTCAGGAGAAGTTGTTCGTTTGGGTTCCTTTTCAGGAGATTTAGGCCTAACCGTTGCATAATCTGGTGAAGTTGGCCTTTCTAGAGGTTTTTTGGTCGATTGAGATTCTTTTTCAGGCTTATAACGTGTGTATTCCGCTTTTTTTGGTGATTCGGGTTCTTTTTCTGGAGACTGAGGCCTAAACCTTGTATATCCTGGAGAGCTTGGCCTTTCTGGAGATTGTGATTTTATAAATTGTACGGTATCAACTTTCTGTGTAGATGATTTTCTTCTAATAACTTCTTGCTGCTCCTCTACATCAGTCCTACTGGTGGTTTTTGTAGATTTTTTAGCATCAAACACTGAAGGTCTTGACAGAATATCTTTTTGCCAAGGAGTGTCATGGTCTTTGCCAATATTTTCGAATAAAGCCTTTGCTCTTTTAATACTTTCAGTGCTCCTAAGCCTTGTGGTAGACTTGGAGTCATCTTGCACTTTTCTTGAAGATTTTGGTGTAGATTCTGGAGAAGTTGATGTATAATAATCAGTTTCAACTTTTCCTGTTTTCAAAATCGACGCATACTCATTCGACGGTTTTCTGTCGGGTGTTTTATAATCTGGAGAAGGTGATCTTTGTTTAGTAGGTGTTGTGGTTTCCGGAGAGGCAAAAGATATCCTTTCAGGAGACTTACGTGAACTGATTTCCTGTCTTTTCTCTGTATGAATAAATTCACTAGTAACATCTTTAGTTGGGTGAATCTCCATCTTTGAAAGACTCACTGTTGGTTTCGTAGATGTAGAGGTGGTTAATTTTTCTGCTGTTGAAATAAACTTGCTTACTTTATCAGACACGCTTAGCAAGCATTCGTCTTCTTTAAGATCGTCTTCTACATCTTCTAAATCTGGACGTGATACCTTTGGAGCAACAGTTTTAGGTTTCTGGGTTTCTTCTACAGAGGTATTAAAGTCTGAAACTTTCTGTTGAATATTTACATTGACATCGAATGATTTTGGTTTGGGGCTTCTAGACCTGTCGGTTGTTAGTTGTTCAGCTGTACTAATAAACTTGCTAACCTTATCTGAGACACTCAAAAGGCATTCGTCTTCTTTTAAATCTTCTGAAACTACCAAAGAAGGCCTTTCAACTTTGCCTGGCTTCGGTTTTAAAGGTTCTCTAGTCAATTGATCAGCAGTATTTAAAAATTTATTAATTTTCTTATTAATACTCAATAAGCTTTCATCACTTTCTTCAACCTTATCAACTTTAGTTATCCTGGAACTCATTTCAGTGATCCTAGTAGCATTTTCATTGAAATCAGTTTCAGTTTCAAATATAGGCATGTCTGAGAGTTTTTTGGGTTTTCGTTTCAAGGAGCCTTCATCAGGTTCACTAATTTGATCAGGATATCTTGCTGGCGTCTCATCTTCTTCTTCGTCACTCGTCAGAGGTCTTGGACAGAGTCTATCAGGAGTAGGCTCACGGGAAGATTTTGATCTTTGTAGATTGACAATAACTTCACGATCAGGACCAGGTTCGTTGGTTATGAGAACTGTTTTGGTTGTTATGACTCTTTTGGTAGTTTGTCTATTGTCTGTATCTTTATTTGTTAAATCAATAAGAGACCCTTCTACGCTTTCTACAACAGATTCTTCATCGTCTGAAGACACGTATTCTTTCTTGGTGATAGTCTTTTTGGTGGGTGCTACTGTTACCCTGGTAGTCACTGTATGCTTTTTGGGTTCAATTAGTTTGCTTTTTGGTTTGACTTCATTTACAGTTTTTTTGACAGTCGTAGAATACCTTGATTGAGTGACAGTAGTTGTGGATTGTTTAGGTTTCACTTCAGGGGCCTTAGTTGCAGGTGCTTTGTTGATGGGACTTGGTATTTTTCCTTTGGGCTTAGGTGCATCACCGTTAAGCATTATAGTTTTGGTAACTTTTTTCTTGGTTACCGTATCATCAACTCTATTGGTTCTTATATGAATTGATTTGTCTTCTTTTGTGCCTGATGTTTGCTCAATGTTATAAAGAGTAGTCTTAGTGGTAGGTTTCACAGGTTTCTTTACTGGCTCCTTTTTCAGCTTACTTATTTTAGAATATTCGTCTTGGTATTCAGTGGCACCAATAAATTTGGTCTTCTCAACCTTGTAAATTGTTTGTGGTTGCTTTTTAGGAGTTGGTATTCTTGGACTTAACTTTGCAGTCACTTCTATAAGCTTTTTAGATGGAGTTTTCTTCATTGGAGATTTTTCTTTTGATGGTTCCCGTTTAAGGGGAACTTTACTTGTAGGACTATCAGTTTTGGTAACTTCAGGCAGCTTTTTTGTGATTGGTCTCTTAGGTAAAAATCCATTTTGTGTTGGTTTATCCTTCTTAATAATTTTAGTGGTTTGCTGTTTTGTAATTTCATTTTCCAGAATCTCAGATTCAATCAATTCTTGTGTGGTTTTCTTGTGGTCTATTTTCCTCACTTCGTCTGCTTTGCAAAGTTGACTGAAGATTTTCTTTTCTAACACTGGTTCCTCAACAGGGATCCTCGTTTCTACTGTTTCCACAGTTTTTTGTGTGATGGTTTCTTCAACGTCTTCTGTTTCAGATGTAGAGCTTTCCGAATCTTTTCTAGGTTTCTTGTCTTTGGACGAAGGTTTAATTTGAGATGGAACTGCTGCAATGCCTGCGGCATATTTTCGCGGAGTTTTCTTTTCTGGAGACTTTCTGGTTTGAGATGGAAATTCTGCAATGGTTGGTGCTTCTTTTTTAGGCAATTTCTCGTCATGTATTGGAGACTTCTTTGGTTGTGATATTCCAGATGGTTTAATTTCTGCTGATTTGGGAATATTTTTGCCAGGAGATTTCTTCTCTGGATACTGTTCCAAAGGTTCAGGAGATTTACGTATTTGCGATGGGAATTCAGATAGCGAAGGTTTATCCTTTGAGGGGCTAGTTTTTTCAGGATATGGTTCCAAAGGTTCTCTTTCAGGAGTTTTTCTCACTTGCGATGGGAACTCGCAAATGGTTGGACCAGATTTGGTAGGAGATTTTCTTTCAGGATAGGGTTCTAGGACAACTTTCTCAGGTGATTTTCTGATTTGTGATGGGAATTCTGAAATTGACGGAGCAGTTTTAGTTGGTGATGTCTTTTCAGGATAAGGCTCCAATGGCTCCCTTTCTGGTGAAGTTCTAATCTGTGACGGAAACTCGGAAATTGTTGGTCCAGTTTTAGTTGGTGAGCTTTTTTCAGGATACGGTTCCAATTTTTCTTTTTCTGGAGACTTCCTAGTTTGCGCTGGGAACTCAGAAATTGTTGGGCCAGTTTTAGTTGGTGACCTTCTTTCAGGATACGGTTCCAGTGGTTCTTTTTCTGGAGACTTTCTAATTTGCGCTGGAAACTCAGAAATTGTTGGCCCAGTTTTAGTTGGCGACCTTCTTTCAGGATACGGTTCCAATGGTTCTCTTTCTGGAGATTTCCTAGTTTGTGCTGGGAACTCAGAAATTGTTGGCCCAGTTTTAGTAGGCGACCTCCTTTCAGGATAAGGCTCCAATGGTTCTTTTTCTGGAGACTTCCTATTTTGCGCTGGGAACTCAGAAATTGTTGGCCCACTTTTAGTTGGTGACCTTCTTTCAGGATAAGGTTCCAATGGTTTTTTTTCTGGAGATTTCCTGGTTTGCGCTGGGAACTCAGAAATTGTTGGCCCAGTCTTAGTAGGCGACCTTCTTTCAGGATAAGGTTCCAATGGTTGTTTTTCTGGCGACCTTCTAATTTGCGCAGGTAATTCAGAAACAGAAGGACTACTTTTAGTTGGCGACTTTCTAGATTGTGATTGTTTTTCTGGTGATTTTTCTTTAACAGGACTTCTCCTATTCGGATATTGATTTTCTGGTGTTTTCACAGGGCTGCTTCTTGATAGCCTTCTGGTTACATCATCGCTACTTGAAGTTCTGGTGCTAGTTTCCCTAAACGAACTCCTTTTAATGGAACTTTTTTCCAAACTGCTTCTACGTGTCTCTTTAGTGTCCTTATTTAAACCCAAAATTTCCTTGACCCTTTCTTCATAAGTATCAGTTCGGACAAGTTTTGGTCTTTCGTTGGTTGGAGTAGGAGAATCTTTCGTTGGAGACCTACGGAGATCAGTTAAAGGTGAAGTTGGTGATCTTTCAGTAACTTTTTTAATCTTTCTAGTGGTGATGTCTAAGCTAGAAGGTCTTGTAGTGTCTTTTCTGGTTACAGTAACGTCATCCAAATCAGTAATGACATCTTTAGTGCTTCTTATATACTCAAAGTCACTTGTAGTGGTTCCGGTTGGTGAAGGACTTCTTGGTTTAGTAGTTTTTTTGCGAGTCAAAGTGCTGGAGTCAATGGAGTCGTTTTTAGATTTTCTCGTAAAAGTGTCTGTGCTGTAATGTGTAGTTTTAATATCACTGGAGTATCTTTCAGGCGATTGCCTGCTATAAGTGATTGTTTCCGTGCTTGAAAATTTATCTGCAGCCTTTTTGGGGCTTCTAGATCTTCCGTAACGTTCCGGTGAAGTTCTAGACGGGAACCTCATCTTTTCAGGACTTGCGTCTCTCCTCAAAGAAGCATTACTGTTGGTTCTAGGCGAACCTCTAGTGATCCTTTCAGGCGTAATGGACCTCAAAGACCTAGCAAATGCGTCATGGGTAGCACTTACTTCCACTGAAATCTTTTTGCTGGTATAATCATTACGATAAGTGGTATCATATTGTCCGTCAGTGGGAGCTGGTTTCTGATCTAGCTCAGATTTTCCTGGTCGAATTGGTTGACGTCTGTCTGGTTGCACATGAGGCTCTTGTGGTGATTTTGGAGCTTCATTGGGTTGACGTCTTACAGGTTCCTGACTGGATTTAGGTTGTTGCTGATAAGCTTCTCTGGTTTCTACTTCATGTTGACGTTCAGTAGATATAAACTGATCGTTCTTGGTGTCATTCTTTTGGTTGATCAAGTGAGTTGAAGTGGTATGATAAGTGGTATTACTAGGAACTTGATCAGTTACTGTTGTTTTGGTGGTTTTCACAAACTGATCGACAGGAATTTCAACGTACTCGGCCCTATCTTGAGTCACTCTGTGATGTTTGCTAATGTCAGTTTGCTCTTGGGGTGTTCTTGATACTACATTTCTTGTAGTAGTTGTTTTTGTAGTGACGTTTTGTTCACTGGGGATGTAATCAACATTTTCCTCATGGACAATGCGTTGGTTTTGTCTATTAACTTGTTCGTTTTGAGTGGTTTTTGTTGTTTGTTGACTTTGTCGATTGGTTTGTTCACTTTGAGTAGTTTTTGTTGTTTGTTGATTACTAAATCGTCTAGTATCTTGTACATCTGGTTCAACAATATACTCAATAGCCCTTTGATCGTTTCTATTCATGGTGGAGTCATTGTAAATGTTTCTACTAGATTCCTGATGAGTTTTGCTTGAAGAGGTTCTCTGTTCAGTGTGCGAAGAAGCAATATTAGAGTATTTTTTGTGAGTAGCTGTTTCAGTAGAATTGCCTTGTTTGGTTTCATATTTAGTAGTGGTAACCACAGTGCCATCAGCTAAAGTTTGAGTTTCTTGGGTAACCTTAGTTTTGCCTTCTATATAATTAGGATGGCTTTTAAGTTCATGTGGTATATTAGTAGTATAAGTTTTTTCACTAATAGATTTCGCGTTATTTTGGTTAATAGTTGCAGGTAATGCTTTGATGTCTTCACTCGCATGTCTACTTTCGGACGCGTAGGTCGAAGACGAAGAAGTTTTGCTGCTGGAAGATCTGAAATTTGAATGTTCATCGCCACCTGAAGCTTCTTGACGGACCGCTGAGCTGGACGAAGTTCCAACGCCTCTGATAAAGTTTTTATCGTCGCCGTCTTGAAAAACTGAAGATTTTTCTTCCAATTTGGCAGCGTAGTCTAGTTTTCCGCCATCGATTTTCTGAGTTCCAGACGTGGTAGCTGTGTGCTTGGACGTATGGGTTTTTCCGTCCAGGCTTTTCTCGTGCGAGGTGTTGATGTTCCAACCTTGGTCTTGATGCTTGACTGAAATATATTTTATTTGGTAATGGTTATCATACAAACACAGACAATTCTTACCAATAGATTTGTTGTAGCTATCCCTAGTGGGACTCTCCGAATCCCTTACTTCCTTGCTCTTCAGTGTCACATAACTTTGATCAGCTAATAAATCAGCGTGAGTGGTAGACATGTTGGTTTTCGATGCGGTAGAAGTAGTTGTCGATCGATGAATTTCCGTATTATTGACATCGGCGGAATTGTAAAAATCTTTCAGACGAGCCTCGCGCAGTTTGTACATGTGGGATCTTATTTCTTTTTTGCGTCCGAAATCGTCGGTATCTTGCCACTAAAAAGAAAAAATGTCAACACCAGTCAATGATCATCCAAAAATAACATGGAGATGTTCGAACAATGAAAGATGTGGGATCCTCTATTCTATTTGGTGGGTGGATAATTATTTTAAGTAATAAATCATAAGAAAGTATTGATTTATAGATGATAAATTTATTTGACATCCCAAAGATAGATCTGTAGGTGGAAAATGGCATCAAACTTGGGAAAATAATATTATTTACGGTTATGTACTTGAAACTATTGTTAAATCTTCTACGGTTTATAATTAACGACAAAATATATTGCGGAGTATAGATTTATGTTGACGCCTGCATATGAGGATTTATGAATAATAATTTAATAAAAAAATAATAGTACCATTTTTCGTAGAATGTCTTCATCTTGGATCCTGGCTACGTCACTTATATTGGCCGACATGGCCTCTTAGGATCTGTAACAAAATTAGATAATTAGGTTCTTCGGATAAAGAAAACCTATTGGCTAGCAATAATTTCAAATCCCTAAAAAAAAAAAAACCCGCATCTTCACTCGATTTTTCTAAAGTTCTCGTGGAGATTAGGTTAGAGTTAGGTAGGTACCGGTACCACTTTTAGAAAATTAACTATCATAAGTTCTATGTTATGCACCTACAAACAAAAACAAAAAAATATTTTTCATAATAATTCCATTATGTTTGTCATTTTACAAATCCTCGGCTTGTTTATGTTGCTTAAACATTAACCATCAGACATCCAGACACAGAGTCTCACTTTATGTAAATAATAATAATTATTGCGTCGCTTTTAATTTATTTCATTCACTTACGATTTGTATTGGCATGTTTAAGTACATAGCATTCCTTATTTAGGCAAAGTCGCTACTACACTTGAGGCAATTTACCAATTATTCCAAAGTGAATTCTAGTAATTGTTTATGCCGCCTAATAATTTTCGTTTGACATAAGGTAGCTCATAAATAATTGGTAATTATATGATTGATGAATGGTAAATAATAATTATATGAGCTCCGTTAAGCTGGCCCCCCCCGAATTGATTTTCATTACCAAAATGCTGGCACAGGTAAAACATAGCTAGCACAACCTAGCACACCATTTTTTAAAGCTAGCACACCTATAGTTTAGCAAAAAATTGATTTCGAATTCGGGGGGGGGGGGGGGGGGGGCAGGTTAACGCTAGCCCCCCCCGGTTGGATTTACTCAGCCAAAATGCTAGCACAGGTGCAAGATACCTAGCACAACCTAGCACACCATTTTTTAGAGCTAGCACACTCATAGTTTGGCAAAAAATTGCTTTCGAATTCGGAGGGCGTGGTTAAGGCTAGCCCCTCCCCGTTCGATTGGATTTTCTTCGTCAAAATGCTGGCACACATTTAACAAACCTGGCACGTAAAGAGATTTGCTGTTCCTACTCTACTTAGGAATGCAAAGATTGCACTATCGGAATATTCCGGGAATAGCTTCTACATGGGTAAAACTCGCCAGTATCCTTGCCTTAGACAAGGAAAGAGAGAGGACGCGTAACATCCTTTAGGGCGAGCATTATAAAACTTCTTTGTGAGTTAACTTAAAGTTAACTTCTGGAATTACATGTAATTCAAAAAGTTAACTTCAAGTTAACTGTCAAAGCAGTTTTATAATACCCGCCCTTACCTGCACTAGCAGCTGCTTGTGACCGTTTGCCACCAAATAATGGCGACAATTTTTCATGGTGTCACTATGTGAATTTTACTTCAGACCAGTGGCGGCTGGCCCTAAGGGGCCAAGGGGCTGTGGCACTGGCGCAAAATATGTCAGTCCTTTTAAATTTTTTTTTTTTTTTTTAGTTCAATAGTTATGTATTACAATCGTCAGATCAAATTACTTATCATTTCATAATTTGATCCCGACGGAAAAATTTCTGTCGTTATTATTCCTAAATTTCCTAGACAATAATTTGAGCGACTGACTAAACTAAACTCGCTGGACTATCCGTCCGAGCCCATCTGACAACGGCCCCGCTGCAACACGGCAATTACGTTGGAGGTCACGCCGCGCTCCCATTAACCAGCTGTTTTTATACGTATAAACGGGGCCACCTGATCGAACGGCCCGGATTAGTTTTTGCGGCAATTTAATTAACACACAACACACAACAAGAACCTGGAACAAGTCAAGTGAGCTGGAACAAGTCTGGAAAATGTCTGGATAAATCTGGATGAGCTCTGGAAAAGTCTGGAAATCTCTGGAAAAGTCTGGAAATCTCTGGAAAAGTCTGAAAAGAGCCTGGAAATTTCTGGAAAGGGTCGGAAAAATTCTGCCAAAGGTCCCAAAAGACCTGGGAATCATTTTCCAGAATCCGGATCAGTGTGGACAAGTCTGGATAAGGTCTGGATAAATCTGGATAAAGTCTGTAAAACTCTGGATATTGTCCGGAAAAGTCTGGAAATCTCTGGAAACGTCTGGAAAAGACTTGGAAATTTCTGGAAAGGGTTGGAAAAATTCTGAAAAAGGTCTCAAAAGACCTGGGGATCATTTTCCAGAATCCGGATCAGTCTGAACAAGTCTGGATAAAGTCTGGATTATTCTGGATGAAATCTGAAGAACTTTGGAAAGCTCTGGATAAGTCTGGATAATGTCTAGAAATCTCTGGAAAAGGCCTGGAAATTTCTTGAAAGGGTCGGAAAAATTCTGGAAAAGGTCCCAAAAGACCTGGGGATCATTTTCCAGAATCCGGATCAGTCTGTACAAGTCTGGATAAGGTCTGGATAAATCTGGATAAAGTCCGTAAAACTCTGGATAAATCTGGATATTGTCTGGAAAAGTCTGGAAATCTCTTGAAACGTCTGGAAAAGACTTGGAAATTTCTGGAAAGAGTTGGAATAATTCTGAAAAAAGTCCCAAAAGACCTCGGGATCATTTTCCAAAATCCGGATCAGTCTGAATAAGTCTGGATTAATCTGGATGAAGTCTGGAAAACTCTGGAAAGCTCTGGATATTTCTGGATAATGTCTGGAAATCTCTGGAAACGTGTGGAAAAGGCCTGGAAATTTCTTGAAAGGGTCGGAAACATTCTGGAAAAGGTCCCAAAATCCGGATTAGTCTGTACAAATCTGGATAAAATCTGGAAAACTCTGGAAAGCTCTGAATAAGTCTGGATAATGTCTGGAAAAGTCTGGAAATCTCTGGGGTTGAAACGCTGAACAATATTTTTGATTGACTATCGATAGACAGTCAACGTTGACTCCAGGCAGGAATATCTTATCGGTTAGATTTTTTAGCGGCGTCCCTGGCGCCATTTTTTTTTGAAGCGGCTGCCGCAAAGAAATCAGTTTCGTCTAGAAAGACAGTGCAGTAGATATTTTTTATAAATTTGATTCCTATTTGATTTGTATGGTGCCTTATGTCTTATTTTATATAAAACTGTTTTAATAAATTTCTCATACTTCGCCCGTGCTTCATTTATTATTTTGTAGAAATGGTAAATGCCCACGTTTGAATTGAGAATAAGTGAACAAACTTTCTGAGGCGTGTTTTTTTTACAACTTTTAGATCAAAATTTGGGTTATTTGGTTCAGTCCAAAAAAAATTGCGCGCCTCTGGGGCTTCTCCCTGAGTGTGTGCACCGCCAACTTTTCCTCTCACCAGCCGCCACTGCTCCAGACTAACATTTTTGTGATATTCAGCATGCCACCATGCTGAATATTGCTAGCATATGGCTGCAAAACCCGCAGAGAAAAAAAAGTCGACGGGATTACATTTAACAGGCAAAAAACAATATGCTTTCTAGGTTATGTTATGAAAAAAGCAAACATTTTTTGGTGGGCAAACTGCTTCATTTTCACCTGCTGTGATACGAGTCCCCTCTCTTTCCTTGCCTAAGATTCTCTTGCTAACTGCTCTTCCTCATTACGAACAGGTGTTTCGTAGACTAAACTTTTCAGTCAATGTCCCGACGGTGCAATCTTTTCATTGAAGTAAATGGTCAACATTTTGAATAATTAATGTAAACCTCAGAGGAAACCATAATTTGTTAATAAAGCAAAATTAATAAGTAGGTAAACAGTGATTTAATTATTGCGAAGAATAAGAGTACCAAACAGTTTTTTTGCTCTGCAGCCCAAATGGATTATTTGCGGACATATGTTTATATAAAGAAAAATGCTTGTTTTGATGTTCCTTACTATCCCTCAAAGTTTGTCGGTATCTTTTTGGGACACCCTGATGTATACAAAAATTTCAGGTATTCTACTTTTTCGCCTTGAGTGCGGAAAAGTAATACTTTCATGACCTCAACGTGCGGTAAGGTGCACTTTTCCGCACGCTCGTAGAAAAAAATTATAAAAACAGCTGCGATTAGGGATGGCACCTTTGAAAGTAAGTTGAACCGGAGAAAAAAAAACCATTATTGAAAGAAAGCTGAAAAAGAAAATCTGCAGATCTACAATGCAACAGATGCATTACACTTTACTATATGTCTATATGTATATACACATGTCCCCCCTCCCCAGCATCACCGGATGTTGCTTGGGGAAACTTTGCTTGAGGTTGGGAGTTGAGACGGTTGGAGAAAAAGATTCAAGAATATTACACACTAAACAGAATAGCCTATCTTCATAACGACCGCTGACGCAAACAGTTAACGACACTGTTGATGACTTCGATAACGGTGCAACACTATAGTCTTGATGCCAAAAATCGAGTCCACTGAGCGGACGTGTAGTAGTGTTTAATATCCTTGAGGGAGATTATGAGGCTTTGAGGTTCGTGGGCTGTCTATTCTATCGCCAAACTGCATGTCGGAGTCGGAGAATTTCTCTATTTCTGCGAGAGAAACCGTATTTGCACAAACAGGATTGCGCTGTTGCTAAATTCTATTTTTCTTTTTTAAATGCGTTTTTTTTTTGTGTTAAATGCGGTTTTACCCGGAGAAAACACCTAGTAATCCGGAGACTGAAGACCATGTAAAAACCAGTAGACTCCGGGTGAAACCCGGAGAGGTGGCAACCCTAGCTGCGATTTAATGAAACAACAAACAACCAATAATAATTGGAATAATCAAATCGATCAGATTATTCATTTGATGTTTTCGCGCTCCGAATCTAGAAGCAATTTTTGGCTTCTCCACAGATCTGCAAGCTCTAAAAATTGGTGTTCTAGGTATTTTTCTATCAATGCCAGCATTTTGACGAAGAAAATCCAATCGAACAGGGAGGGGCTAGCGTTAACCACGCCCTCCGAATTCGAAAGCAATTTTTTGTCAAACTATGAGTGTGCTAGCTTTAAAAAATGGTGTTCTAGGTTGTGCTAGGTACAGTGCCTCTATACAAGACAGTGGCGACAATAGCGCCTAAGCTCCGCCCACCCGCCATGTTTTGTCGAACTCATTCAATAATGTATTTGTTCTTCCTTTTCTTTCTGTTCTAATTTTTAAGAAAACGCAATAGAAAACCAAC